GACACCTCTTTTACCCTTCTAAATCCCCCACCCCCAGAGCAGTTTGTGCATGATTTACTTTAAAGCTAAAGAAGCTAAAGTCAGGGCTTCTTACTTGTAGGTGCACCTTCCCAATTTTGTATGTTTTTCCTTGAGAGAGAACTCCAAATTATATAAGCTTCAGACCCCACAAAACCTGGATCTGCCCCTGTAATCAACAATCTCTCTCACCTATTCCAAAGATTCTTTGTAGTCTGGTCCTTTACCTCATGGGTTGAGTGTAGATATATTTTTACAAGCCGCCTTTTTCATGATTTACACTAGTCATCCTTTTAGAAAATATGTCATGCAAATGATAAAGTAACATAAATGATTCACCTAGAATCCCATCACCTCCACAGGTCACCCATTCATTCTTCTGCAGCCCTTCCAGTTTTTGTCCACATGTCTACATAATTTTATGTGATTATAATTGTCATAGGATTTAAAAGTGTTTTATCTTGATAAACACGATTCACTTGACAAAGTCGCATTTATTGCACCACTATCCTATACTCATCTCTTCAAAACGTGTATGAGGCGGTTATACCACAGCATTTAAGAGACAGGGCAGCAAGAAAGGGTGAAAGCCTTGCACCTCAGTGGCACCTTGGGAAAATGACCAGCTGCTGGTACTCAGGAGGGTGGGCAAAGGATACTGAACTGTCAGGGCCACATCCAGCTTGTTCACCACTGTATGCTCCGTGCTTAGCACAGGGTCTGGTGTCCGGTAAGTACTTAAATATTGACTGAGGGACTAATCCTGAAACTGACTCACCCAATTTTGTTTGTCTTTTACAAAATCTTAGAAAATAGCAATCAACTTAATGTGTTCCATTAAAGTAGAATCCTGCCTCATTAACTAATGGATAACTGATTAATCATTAATCAATTATAAAAATGAGTTTATTAAGTGCCTGCTATGACCAAACACAACTGGACCACTTGGGATCGAGAGAGAGCCAAAGGAGGAAAAATGTGGAGAGAGAGTGCTCTTTCCAATCCTATCCCAGTCCTGTACTTTGTGGTCTGAGATGAATAAGGAGAACAGAGAAGTTTTTAATCTTTGAAAAAGACATAGTCTTTTTTTTTTTTTTTAATTTTTGCAGAAGAGTTGGGAAATATGGAAAAAAGAAATTTCACTAAGGGAAGGCAGAAAATTAGAGCTCTTTATTTCCTTAAATGGTTCTGGAAGATTGCGACACCAAGCTCTTTTCCAGAAACTGGTCTACACTTATCTGAAGTGTCACATTCATTCTGAAACGTTCTTAGAGGGAGAGGTCACAACAGTTTATTGTCTGAAATGGATGATCATTTTAGGTTTCGGTTAACATAAAGTAGCATCCACCTTTTTCTAGGATCAGAACACTACAGAGGGCTCCTTGTGACCTGATGTGAGAGATGCTTCAGCCACTTGAGTGACTTGATGTGACATACACAAAGTCACTTTGAGAAGTCTGACCCTGCAAAAGATGGACTCCAGCTTCTTTCTGCCCTGGGGTCAGTGCTGCTAGCCAACAGCATTTCCTGGCAAAATGAAATTAAACAAAATCCCAGAGTTGTTTGTCTTCAAAATAATTTTGATTTAATTTCTTCTTTTATATAAAAAGACAACAAATTACATTTCAGACAATACTGTTTAGGTTATGAGGTTCCCGTCAGAGCTGTTTTGCAACGCACGTTTACATAAACTGAAGTGAAGCTGGCCGTCGACTGTGAAACTGGGGCCAGCCAGGCCGCCTTGTGCACATTTCACTCTGGATCACAAACTAATGTACCATTCTATTGTTTAGGTGTCAACTAGAGTAGGATTTTGTTCCGGACATTCAAATAAGGATGAGAAAACAAACCACCACCACCAGATTCTAAAAAACAATGTTAGTGCTTTGTAAAGAAAACGTACAGCATTAATATTTTCTGCTTTTATCAATAAGCTCAAACATTTGACATTTTGAATACTGATACTTAAATAAGTCTAGGTTATGGAGAGAAAATTTTATAGAATCTTTTTTTTTTTTTTTTTTGTGAGGAGATCAGCCCTTTGCTAACATCTGCCAATCCTCCTCTTTTTTAGCTGAGGAAGACTGGCCCTGGGCTAACATCCGTGCCCATCTTCCTCCACTTTATATGGGACGCTGCCACAGCATGGCTTGCCAAGCAGCGCGTCAGGTGCGCGCCCGGGATCCGAACCAGTGAACCCCGGGCCACTGCAGCGGAGCGCGCACACTTAACCGGCCCTCCGGGGGCCGGCCCAATAGAATCTTTCTTTTTGCACTGCCCAATGTGTTACTAATTATTTCTCCTATTGATCAATTGTGCTTTGCTGTCCAAAATTCACAGAAGCAAATGATGCAGGGTTACAAATGCAAAGAGAACAATAAATAGTATACAGAAGCAGTTAAACATTTCTTATAAAACTTATCTTAGAGGAAAGTTGCCAAAGTAAAAGCAATTACACTTTATATGATTCCATTTGATGGTGAATGTATCAAATATCTAAAATTCTAGACAGTTATGAGAATAATTATTGCTTTCTCAGAGGGTATCTCCATCGTTAAGTGACGCATGACTGTATTTGCAAAATATACTTAATGTAAATAAGGTGAATATTTCCCTTTATTCTCTTTTTGTGGGTAAATTTATTCTTTACTACAATATATTTTTTGGGTATGATGATGAAACTAATTTTGGATGATCGTCCACAGGTGTCACAGGACATTTCTTTCTCCTTTCTGGTTTAGTATTAGCATTCCATATATTCATCCAGAGGCTTTCTAAGGTTTGTTTAGAAGAGATCTTCTCCAAACAAGCCATTTTAAATTTTATAACGTCCTCAGTTGTGTGTTAAATAAGCTAAATTCAAGGAAACTGAGGTTAACCACATCAGAGCAAAAAGTCAAATAAATTTAATTAGAAAATTCAAAGAGATGACAGTAGAGAAAGTCTAAAATTAACTGTAATGTGATCTGAAGGAGTTCATACCTCATCATTCTAAAGTCTGAGCCAGGACATACACACTCACACAAAGAGTTTTCTGACCAAGCTAAATAATAGACCAAAGGAGTCAGTTTTGTGAAAAGAAACTTAAGAACACAAAGTCATTCAGCATAAGTGTAACACAGGATTTTGGAAGTTCTAAATTATCAAGTCATTTAACGAAAACAAAAAGCAAATATCCAGGTTGCTTTTAGTTTAGTAAATAAAGCATTCATGGTCATATTCACTTTGATCATTAAATGGGGAAAAATACGTCTAATCACTTTTCCATGTATAAAATATTCAAGTATATTATTGACAAGAGGCAATGAAAACTCTGTCTCTGAAGTTCTGAAACACAATGGAGACAATCAGGGATACACAGGGATTAAGCCTAGATCTCTCAAGGGGCTGTCTAGCTTGTGATTCCTGTGTCTCTAACTGAACAGGACTCTGAAGTCATAAAGATGCAGGGGCTCCCAAGCACAGAGAGACACTTTCTCCATGCATTATACTCCTGTGCTAAGAGAGGTTAACACCGGGAGCCAGACACCTAATGCAGAATTTTCCAATTAACCTAACTTCTACCAGCAGTTTCTGCTAACAAAAGCTTTCAAGATAGTCTCCATCAATAAACACAACAAAGTTCAAAGCCTATTAGTGCATATTAAGGTTTGTAGAGATGAAAGGACATAACGCCCGAGATTGGCTTTAAAATATTTCAGTGGAAAAGGGAAAAAAAGGGGATAGGTGAAGGAAATGCAGCAAAGTCTTATAATTACTAAATCTAGGGGATGGGTTTATGGGGAGTTTTATCATATTATTTTCTCTACTTTTGTGTATGCTTGAGAATTTTCATAATGAGACTCTTTAGAAAAGAGCTTTAGGAAATATAGTTCATCAATATAGCTATGGGCCTATGGACTGGACAGAAAGGTTTGCTGAAAGAAATCATAGCGGTCACGAATCTGGCACTCTTTATTAGGTTAAAAAAAACTATTTTACCCGTTTTTCTCAGAGGAAAGAAATAACACAAATCTACACCCTATCCTGGGATGTGGGATGTGTATTAACACAATACACTTTTTAATGTTAGCCTAAAATTAGAGAAATCTAACTTTTCCAGCTGAACATGGAGGCTGTATTACATGGAAGACATTCCAGTTTAGCTTTTAGCTTGAAAGAAAGAAGAGAGTGTTAATTCTAAGAATTCAGATTCCCTAACCCTTTTCTCAGATACAAGGAGTTTTTCTTATGGGGATTTAACCTCTACCCTTCTAGTTACAGAAGGAAGTAGAGAGGGGTGTCCTTCTGGAGGTCATACCTCAAACAGAATTAATCCTTTCCTGTGGTAAAGAAGCCACTTTTCACCCCCAGATAATACCCTGGAAGGGAGGCCTCACTCTTCCTGGCCCCTTCTCCATTCCCTTTCTCCCCTGTGTGACCTCATGTATCCCTCTCTGCCATGCTTCCTACACTCTTCCCCACTGGTCCTGTCATGACATCCTATGTGATGCTCAAGGATCCAAAAAGCAAAAGAGCCCCCCAGAGTCTCTGTGGAAAATCATACTTATTCCTGTGCAAAATCTGGCTGAGGGACCTATAATTTTGACCTAAGTTACTAGGACTAGATTAGAAACAAAAGGAGTCAGACAGCAACAAACTCTCCTAGTTCATTTATTTTGTGTAAGTTTCATGACCATGGGGCCTATACTGATATTGTTTCTTTCAAAACAGAGATTAAGGACTCAGGTAAGAATTCACTCTATAAACACTGATGTCATGGAGACTTCTTCTTCTTCTTGTTTTTTTTTTGCTGAGGAAGATTGGCCCTGAGCTAACATCTTGCCCATCTTCCTCTATTTTGTATACGGGACACCACCACAGCATGGCTTGATAAATGGCACATAGGTCCGTGCCTGGGATCCAAACCTGTGAACCCCGGGCCGTCGAAAAGGAGCACATGTACTTAACCACTATGCCACTGCGCTGGCCCCTCATGGAGACTTCTTTTTAAAAATGAGGTATTTGGTTTACGGTCCCAAACAGTAAGGGTTTGGGCAAACTGCAAAAATGGTCTAGCAAGTAATCAAATGAAAGTGAATATGGTGAAACATAAAGCAGAAACAGGATCTGGAGATATACATTGCTATGACACCCTGAGAATCTTTATTGTAGCCAAAATAAACCCACCTACCTCATATCTCTAAAAGCAAAACCCAGCATGATTTTTCCTAAAAGCATACACTTCTATTCAGAAAAGATGAGAATGAAGAGGTGAGTGAATATGAAAAAAGTAAAGAGACTAAGATCAGTCTTATTGCCCCTTTCCCCACTCTAATCAAAATTACTTATTAATGAACCACTATTTCCCTTGTTTTCAAATTATCTTAGGAAAACATTTAGAATTACGGCAATAACAGCATTTACAAGTGAATTTATGTGGAACTGTTGTCAAAGTTCAAAATGAAAGGTCTTGAGAAGATAGTTGAGTATTTCACATAAAAAACTGAAAAATCAGGTTAGCCAGGCCCAAAATGATGATGAAAATGTGAAAGATTAATTTAGGCCACGTCAGACGCTCTTCTTGGTGGAGGGAAATGATATAGATGAGAGATGGATATATGAATACAAAGGCCAGGCCGCATGCTGCTCCTGAATATCTGCAAAATAAAAGCTTTTGGGTTAATATTCATCTTGCATTTTGCTTTTTCTGATTTACAATTAAGGTACATTTAGTACAATTTAAACCCTCCTCAGTTTGATATTACAACAAAATTATTTTTGAATCATTTGTTGTTGACATAAAACATTTGAGTTGGAAACTTATTTTACTTGCTAAGTTAATATAAAATATTATTTCCTGTTCTTCTTTATAGCATCTGCTTGACAAAGAGCTTTTTATTCATCTCTCAAATCTCTGTAGTCCCTCTGTGTCTCAGTGATTATGGCAACTTCCTCAGAAACATCTGGAGATAGGCTTCCTATCTTTGATCTTTTATAAACTAATTACACATTCTGAGTTTTTGAAAGACTGCTAGCATCTGCTTAAGAATGAGAACAGATGAGTCCCTCCGTGGCATTCAGCACAATTACCAAAGATAATAACAAAAACCTAAACATGAGACTGACAGAGGAACCTGTCCTTTCTTCTCCCTTTCCCTATACTTGGTTTCCTTTAAGAAGAGCTTAATAGGAACTTGTAAATCCATTATATTCAATAAGCATCAGGCTAATAATCTCCCTTTTGTTTCTTGCTACTTTCTTAGGTAAGGGTCTTCAAAAAGTGACCTGGCTCTGCTCTCTATAAGTTATAGAAGAGACATCATATCATTCTAAACTCCAGTCTTCCATGAGAATCTGAGGTCATAACTTTATTCCCAAACTACTCAACCTAACACAAGGTTTTAAAGAAAGGATATTAAGGAAAGAGCCATCTGGGATATAAACTCTTACTTTCTTACTACCATTGGCACTGAAATATTTTCTTGAGTAGAAATAGATTAAGAAAGTTAGGACATAGCCTTGACATATAACAGATTTCTCAGGTAGTTATATATTATATATTAAAAATAACTTTTTATTTTGGATAAAGAGAAAGGAATACAGTGGAAAATGATGAGAAAAAGAAAAAGAGAAAGGAAAGGTGCCTAAGGCTAAAGGATAATGGGGCTTCTAGAGTCAGGAATAAGCAGAAATGGAAGATAATGAGCACCTCAACTGAACCAGGGAATTACATTTGAATGTTACCAGTTTTAAATACTCACAGGAATTTCATACAATTCAATTAAAACGATGACAACAACAACAGAACAGCATAAAAATTAAGATCAATATATGAAAGGGCACAGTTCCCTTACAGGTAGTACCTTATGATTCCTCCTATGTTTGGGTAGAAACAGGCCATGATCACTCCAGCTCCCACAATAATTAGATTAAGAACCAGCACGTGGAGAATGCTAGAAGTTGAGGAGAGTTTGGAGGAAGGAAAAAATATAAAAACAGGCAAATGATAACCATTAATATGAGAATAAAATTCATTATTAACATCTTTAAAATGAGAATGTCTTAAACTTGACAATAAAATCACAGCAAAAATAGAAGGCAACAATAGTACTCAATGCTGGTGATGGGACAGTGACGGTGGCCCTTTTGTGCAATTATATAAACAGGTTAAGTTTCGTAGGAGCAAACTGGTAGTGTACGTCAGAGTTCACACTCTTTGATCCATAATTGCACTTGGAATATCTTAAGAAAATAATCAAAACCATGAAAAAAGCTATTAACATCAAGATATTTGAGGAAAAACAAAAGTATTCTAGATACACAGCAAGGTAACAATTTACTTGATGGAATATATTAAAAATTATTAAAAATAACTTATCATTGTTACTTATACGGTAAAAATCCATCCAGGCAACTTGGGAAAAGGTAGCTAGACTTTTACTACACAAGAAAATCTGAAAACATTAAAAAAAATATCACAAGGAAATACAAGGAAAAGGCAGCAGTGATTGTATTATGATTTGAGATTTGGGGTAATTTTTCCTCTTTTCTATATTTAACAAATTTTCTACATTTTTCAATGTTTTTTATAAAGTGTTTATTTTACTTTTATAATTAGAAAAATAAATTATATTAAAAGAAAGGCAGAATGGGCAGGTTTTTATTTTTTAGATTCAGCCACTTAAAGCTATTCAGTATCTACCTTGAATAGAATATCTACTAAATACTTGAACTAGATGTTAACAAGTCAAGGTTTGGGAATCAATTCTGGACACAAATAAAAATAATATAGGTGAAGTTTGATGCTCAAGAAATAACTCCATTTCCTTAAAAAAATGATTCTCAAAAGCCAAATTTACACATCAAAGAAACCTTTTGAGCCCAAGTTACCACAGGTTAATTAATCCCAGATAAAGATTACAGAGAGAATTAAAAATTAGGAAAATTATTTACATAAATAAGTGGCTAGTCATACACCCTGATGAATTAGAAAGATAAGATATTCAGGCTTCCAAATCTTACTATTTATCCAAAAACTCCAACCTTAAAATTGCTTCAAAGCTTTGGGACATTGGCTGGGCCTTTATTATTTTTGTATTGTAAAAGGAAACAACTTTGTGTATTTTCCAAAGTAGTGGTTCTCAAAGTGTAACCACAAACCCCAGGAAAGTTCCCAATACCCTTTCATGAAGTTGCTGAGGTAAAAATTATTTTCATAATCACACAAGACATTACTTGCTTTGCAAAAGCAATGGTGAGTAAAACGGCTGGCTCCTTAGCATGGATAGAGGCAGCTGCACCTATCTGTATTCTATACTGTATTCTTTATTGCCAAACACCCTCAAAAAAAAAAGTTTTATTAAAAATTATCCTTGAGGGGCCGGCCCAGCGGCGTTGCAGTTAAGTTCGCGCGCTCTGCTTCGGTGGCCCGGGGTTTGCAGGTTCAGATCCTGGGCGTGGACCTACACACTGCTTACCAAGCCATGCTTGATATCCCAGGTGGGGTGGTATCCCATATGAAGTAGAGGAAGATGGGCATGGATGTTAGCCCAAGGCCAATCTTCCTCAGCAAAAAAGAGGAAGATTGGCAACAGATGCTAGCTCAGGGATAATCTTCCTCAAAAAAAAAAAAAAAAAAGAAAGGAAAAGAAAAAAAAATTGTCCTTGATAAAGGACTAAAAATGATTAGTTTTATTAAATCTCACATGCTTTGAACACACATCTTTTTAATATTCTGTGTGATCAAATAGGAAGTACATAAAAAAGCACGTCTGCTGCATCCTGACGTACAATGGTTGTCTTGAGGAAAAGTACTTGTACAACTTAGCTGGAGGGCAACCTAGCATTTTTTCCAAGGAACTTGAAAGGGAGACAAACTGTGGTTCTCTAGACTTGGGTATTTGACAGAATTTTCTTGAAAATGAATGATATGAGCTTGTCACTTCAAGGAAAACAACTAGTAGTATGTGTTGCCAATGATAAAATTTGGGCTGTCAAGTAAAAATTAGAATTTTGGAGAGCTTGTATTTGCCACCCTGAGCTTGACAGTTTTCCAATAATTAAAGACTTTTATAATGAAATCAATGGTGATATTAATGAATGTGGGTTTTGATATTATATAATGAAAGTGTGTCAACATTTGGAAGATCTGCAGAACTCAGCGAACCACTATTTTCCACATGATTAACATGGTGTACAAAATCATGCATGGATAAAAGATATGAAGTGTAAGATAGACCAATGGGTTTTAATGTAACTGAGTTTCAGATTCTACTAACTTTCAAGAAACTACCACTGGTCAAGGTTTGGCATAGTATCAAAGAAGAATATCCACAATTACCTGAAAAGGTTATTAAAAGTACTTCTTTTTCCAACTATGTGCCTATGTGAGGGTGGATTTTCTTCAGATACATAAATGAAAGCAACATTACAACAGGTTGAATGCAGAAGATAGGAGAATCTAATTATCTGCTTGCAATCAGACATTAAAGAGTTTTGAAAATGTAAAACAAAGGTTTTTTGGAAATAGTTATTTTTCATTAATATGTTAACAAGTAATGATTTTATTATTGTTTTTTAAAGAAATTAATAAATATTTTTAAAATTCTCAGTTTTAATTTTTCATATGTTAAATATTTATAGAAATAACCCACATAAACTAAAGCTCCTGGGGGTCCTCAATAAACTTTGAGAGTGTAAAGGGGTCCTGAGACCAAAAAGTATGCTCCAAAGTATGCAGTCTGTAGAGTATTCGTACCTGTAGGATAAACGATAGTGTGTTCTGGGTGGTAGGGGAAGAAATGTAATGTGAACACAAAAGGAAAATTTCAGACTTTTTCCAAGAAGAAAAACCATCCTAACAGCCAACATTATGCAAACTAACGGCAGAAAACAGGAATTATGCATTTACCTAGAATTTTTTTCATCTAGAATTTCACAGTATTTATTTTATTCTGGTGAACGTTAATACAGCATAGGGTATAAACAACAGAAATCTTACATTTACTGAAATCCAATCTTCTAGATGAGCAACGGTAGAACTGTACCTGCTGCTACTTGTCAACGCTAGAGACCTGGTAACTCTTGACTTTTGCTTTAAAAGCTTTTTTGTTTTTAAACCAACATATTTATAGCTAATTATTTATTTAATGAGGGGACAGAATCAGTTCACTTCAAGGAAAATGTTTAAGACCACTTGTTTAGTTGGTTACTCTAAATGTAATTTTTTTCAAATTTTATCCAAAAGTTTTCTTCATTTAAGATCATTTATTCCAAATAAAATAGATTAGAACTAGATACTTTTTACTAGAATGAATCTATTATAAAACCTAACATAAGAGTAGGAGTTAACCACGGGTCCACAAAGAAGTTTCAGGGAAACCCTGAAGTAGTATATGGAAATTTCTCTTGAATGAGGGTGACAAGATTTGAACAGATTTTCAAAAGGACTCACAACTCCTCCATCACCAATAAGAGATTAAAAATTACAGTAGTAGTTACAGAAGCAAATAAGAATTTAAACTTGTTATGTATCTCACTTTCAATTCTAAACAACTATTATTTATGTAAAAATGCATATATGTTAATAAATATACAAGTAAATATCAATAACCAATAATTAAAAGAGTTGCTTCTCATTAGCTATACATTGCTAACACAAGTACTATATACTATTAACTTCTTGGCAATGAGTGGATTAATAGCAACTAAATCATAAGATAAATATAACTGGTATCATAGCTAATATAACTATACTGGAAGGAATTAACTTTAAATCATTCTGGACAAGGGAGTGGCTTCTATTTTTAAGGCTCTTTGGGGAAAAGAACACCAATGTATATCCTTAGCAACCACTTTCATTAGGCAAATTTTTATAGCAAAAGGATCAGCCACAGTTTAAACTGACCTGTTTGCACAGTCATTTGTTGCTTGGCACATCTTGCTGGTCAAGAGAAGAACCCTTACCTAGGATAAATGTCACCGAAGACATGGCCCAACAGCTGGACACGAGCCAAGTAGCCTAGGAGTGGGTACACAGTCATCATCTGGAACAGCAGGAATATCCTTGCAATGAAGGACAGGATGTCACTGCTAGGGAAGTTGTCTAAAAAATTCTAATCCAAGAAAGATAATGAAGTCATGTTAAAAATCAAATTCACTATATACAAATTTATAAAATGGAATGTCTTTTGCTTATTTTGAACATAGGTGCCACTCAAACTGTGGTTTGTGGACTTGTGCTCGTCCACGACCTGCTTATTAACTATTATTCTTCAATGAGCTAAGTACAGAAATTCAAAGTAAGTGTTTAGACACATTTATAAAAATTTGACATTGCCACATTTTTATTCTATTTTACAAAAGTATCAGTCTGCAATTGATTTGACATTAAAACAACAAAGAAAACCTTGTCCTTCACCACAGATAGTTTGAGAAGCACTGATCTACAAGTTGCAAACATAAATTTGTTTCATATATTTAAATGGCTAATTTAAGAGTCTCACGCTCTACTGACCGAGCTTGCCAGGCGACCACTAAATGGCTAATTTAATTCAGTGCTTTTCCATCCTCACTAGTTCTCTTGCTTTTCCTCCTCTGAAGCATTTGTAGCACTTTCAAAGTAAAGATTACAGAATAAGGTGAGAATATGTCTATCACCTTGTATTATTATTATTTACGGTCTATCACTAAATAGAAAAGGATTTTCTTCTTTTTCCTTTCACAATTCTTTTCTCCATTTTAGTTTGGCATCTTCAAAAAAGTTAATTACTCAGAATTGTTTTTTTCTTCTCTTTCAAATACAAATACCACAGATATTCCTATTCCCAAGGGTGTGGGCTTTATATGGGATTGTTCACATAGGGGAATTTTCAGCAAACATTTGGCTGCCAAAGAACTTCTGGAATCAAGGAAATCAAGAGAAGAACATTTCGAGCTATCATAACAGCAGTAAATCAAACCTTTTTCTCTTATAAAGATGAGAACATTATTAACACTATTATGCTGAAAGAATCTTTATAATTCATCCATAATAAATCACATGGTATATTCCATCACTCTATTAGAGGAATTTCTTCTGACTAGGGAGAAAGTCACACATGAAATGCTATTTTTTGTCAGAAATTCTTCAGGCACATTTAACTAGAGACTATACTATTCCTAAGTTTATGGTGGGTCAAATCAAATAAAATATTACTTATGGCAACCTTTTTGTAAAAGAATTTCTTCCATTCTCTCTCTCTCTCCCCCTCAACAGCCAGAGTAGTCTGTCTTTGTTTTATTGCCTGCCACGCAGTACCAAAATGGGTGCCAGACCTATCATCAGGGACTGATGAACTAAGACACCAGGACATTTTTTTTCTAGGAGATTTCCAGATCTGGGCTTTAGAAAATAAGAAATTTGAATATATTCTTAGTGGGAGGTTTTATATTCATGACTATCACTAGTAACAGTTTTCTACACACAGGGAAATACTATGCACATAACAGGAATCATTTATTTGGCACCACAAGGAGCCAGCATGCAGTATATTTTCTCAAGAGTCCATCAAAAAATCTATGGCGTATGTTTTATGTTATTTAATGGAAGAGGAAACTGAAGTTCAAAAAGGATGGGGAAGGCGCCTATATTCCCCGATGTAGAGTAGATAGTAGAGATGGTATCCAAACCCAGGCCTGTCTGGTGTTATATCTTGCTACTAGTATCACCTTGCCTGTTCCACAGATATAAAGGTGTAAACAGTCACACAGAGAGGATACACAATGCTTTACTGCAGAAATGAAGGTGTAAACAGTCACACAGAGAGGATACATAATGCCTTACCTGCTCTATACAATCTTTGGATAACGGTGGTGAAGGAAATGAAGCAAAAACGAGGACTCCAATATAGAGATAAGTTAATGTCACCAGCATATAAGCAATGGACAAGTCCCTCACCTGTAAAGAGAGAATAGAAGTTCCACAATACTGAATAAATTTGCAGTAAGTCAGTGTGCCTGAACAGGCTAAATAAGAAGACTGACTTTTGCTGTGTGTGTTTTTGTGGATGTATCTTCTAGGTATCCAATCTGTTCACAAAAAGTAGTTAAAACAAAATTTACATATTTTACAATTAGTCTGACAATTTTTAAAAAAAATATTCTGGAGTGTGTAGACTAGGATACCTGTTGGCAGACTTAGTAAGTTAACATAAATGGTGGTTTAACATGATTGAAATTCTGACTTAATTTTAAAGGTAATTTATTTACCAAATTATAAAATATTTAACTAAAATAATAAAGCTAAGAGACAACAAGAAAGCAAGAATAAGCACCTTCAGTATGACCTACAGAATTAAAAAAATTTTTCTTTTAGTAAATTAACTTTTTAAATCATCAAAGCATGCCTAGACCAAAAGAGACTGGTACTTATTAAAATATATTTAATAAAGAAGGAAAGCTAGTTAAAGAGCAGACAGTAAGCAGGTATTAAAGACAAGCTTACCAAACCTAAACAGTAAACAAAAGGAAATCAAAAGGCAGCTGTTCAAACAGCTGCACAATGTTATTATTGGAATCAGTAAACAAATGCAGAACATTAAATAAAGTGGATTGCTTTCTTCCACTGCTGTTCCCACCCTGCCAACTTCCCATCCCCATGCAAAGTGAAAAGCTCCAAGATATTTGATGCAGCCAGCTGTCAGATCCAAACAGAACAGATCCCACAGCTCAAAAATCTGGTCTCCATCACCACTAAAGTTACGGCCAAACAATTCAGCAAAACTGAATTATGGCAATAAGCCTATTCATCTTTCATTTAAACACAAATTACTTTGAAAGCTAAGAAAACAGATAAGAAAAAAATTATATACAATTTTAGTTTGCTAACACAAAAAGAAAACTGGACATTTGGTATTAGGGAACATTTCTGATTTTTTGACAACTTTCCTCCTTAAATGGGCTAGAGCAATAGCAGAGAGTTATAAACTTGAATGTCGATAAATTCACTTAAAAAGCAAGCAACAAGCTATGAGAAATTTCTAAGGTCAGGTCTAAGTTGACTATCAGCCTGAAAACAAACCAGGGATTCCATACCCTAAATAAGACAGTGGATAGGCCTATGGAGCTACAGGAATCCGGATAATGCAGATTGCGTCCAGCCTTCTCAAAGAGCCTCTAATTGTTCAGAGTTGAGGAAGGAGAGGCTGACCAAACCTCGAGGGGGTTTCAAAGTCTCTCCTCGTTAGTTCATGAAACTCTAGGGCCCATCTCAGACTAGACTTCAGTCATCCCTGGGGTTGCCTCATGGTTTTGTGTAGGATGAACAGAAATGAACCAGGCAACTCTTATTTTAATATCAAAGGGTAGTAGTCTCCCACTATGATGTTTGAAAGTCATTCTACCCTCAACGTACTCAATGCCACTCAAGAACAGAGGGAGCCTTGTAAAATGCAAAATCTTGGGAGGCCAAAACAGCTGTGTCAGAGAGAGCTGTATATAAACAGGAACAGCTACCATTTCATGGACAGTCTTTAGCCTATATACCACCTGATCACCACATTATTTTAGCCAAGCTTCCTGAAGTATGTGTACCTTAGCAAACTTTGGGGAAAAACTGATGAAGATAAAAAGGCTAAGATGCAAGGGCTTCCCAATAAGATAATTTTCCCCTTCTGCTTCCCTGTTCTTATAGCACTGTGTACACATCTGAAATACTGCATCAGATACACTGTATTGAAGTTGCCATTAATTTTTATTATAAAAGTAATCTATGTTTATGATATGAAGGATCTTAGGTGGAAAGAAAAAGTCCCTCAACACCTAAAAAGTAGCCAACATTAATAGTTCTTGTATCATGGTAGTATTTTAATTTTTCTATATCTAAGTTAGTCTATACCACTAGACTATGAGATCCCTGAGGACAGGGACAGTGTCTTTCTCATCTTTTTATACTCAACACCCAGGACAACATCTGGCACACAGTAGGAACTCAGTAAATGTAGATAAAAAACAACAACCATGTTGGCTACAATTATTAAGGCTTCTAGGTGCCAGGCTCTGTGCTAAGCACATTACATGTATTATCTCATTTACTGTAGGTACAATCACTTTCCTCATTTTATAGATGAGTAAATCAGTGCAGCAAGGTTACAACACTTGTTCATAGTTAGAAAGTGAATAGCTGGTGAAGTCAATATTCAAACCAAAGACTTTCTGGCTCCAAATTTCATGCCCTTAGCTACAGTTGGAGAAATGGATAAATGACCAATCTGTAATGCATCTGTGTCACAGTTAATAAACAACAATAAAGAAAACAATGAAAGAGAGGTAGCAAATTAGGAGTAACAATACAATAGAGCACACATATAGATGCAAGAGAAATACTAAAATCAGAAAAGTTCTATTTTACAGTAGTCCAAATGTACATTCAATAGAGCTAGGTCAAGAGTTGCATGTCTGTTTTCATCTGAAAATACTCTAATGAGCAGAAATTATGTTTTAATATAAAAGCAGCTGAGGTTTAGCACGATCCTGGGAAACATGCCACCTATGAATAGCATGCACACATGTGGGTTTTGCTATTCTCTGGCTTGAATACAAGCCATCACTGTACTAGGCCTAGAGATATAGCTTCTTAAAAGTCCATTAAATGGAAAAGGATGGAAAAAAGGTAGCTTTTAGAAATGAAGCTCAAAGTAAAAAATATATTTAAAAAGAGGCACAACCAGGGCCAATCTTCCTCAGCAAAAAGGAGGATTGGCAACGGATGTTAGCTCAGGGCTGATCTTCCTCACACACACACACACACACACACACACACAATAATAAAAAGATAAATAAAGAAAAAGAGGCACAAGAGACAATATGAACTGGTAATATGTCAGGAATCCTATCTATTAATAAGGTAACCTCTCTGCCTCATGAATAAGCAATGGCTGGCAGGGCTGATTAGAGGACTAACGACAGGAAGAATGCCAACTCAGAATGAGGACTGGGTTTATGATGGGGCACAAGCGGGTCTGGAAGCACATTCCGTTTCTCAAATATGGTTTATAATTTGTTCCATGTACTGTTCATAGTGAAAATACTATCCAGTGGAGCATTTACTAACAAAAATGACAGAAACCGACCACACAGACCCACCCCAAACATTTACAGAAAAACTTCTGCTGACGTATAGTTAAGTAAACTACACAGATTCATATGAAGAAGCAAAAAGTAAATAACAAATTAAGATATAAGGCATCTCAAACCATTTTTAGAGAACTAAGCAGGCTACAAAACCAAATAAAGACAGGCAAAACAAAATAAAAAAAAGCACTGTATAGGTTCTAATTCAAATATGATGAGGAAGTACCAAGAGGTTAGTCCACACATCCAGGATGGTTATAGAGACTACGTATTTTGATGATGAGGAATAATTTTGATAATCTTCAACTCTTTAACTTTTTCTTCTTTTTGGTAAGGTATGCCTTACTAAGGAATAGAAATTATATCTCATTTACTTATACATATAAAAAATTATGTTTAGTGAAAAAAAGAAAAAAACCCATGAAGTTAGGTCGAACTTGGAAGACCTAGAAAATTTGATCACTACACCTGTTTAGGAGCCTCACTGTTCTCCTTCACAAATGTCTTTAGATCCAAGTCCAACTATGGTTTATATAGAAGAGAACAATGCCTTTTCTATTCTTTTGTCTTCTTTTCTACTTTCAAACTTTTGCTTACTTAGCTCTGAAGGACCAACCCAACATCAACACTAAGAATTCAGAGCCCCTGAGATGAAAACACTAATTTGAAAAGATAGAGGCACCCTTATGTTCACTGCAGCACGATTTACAACAGCCAAGATATGGAAGCAATCTAAGTGTCCACCAATAGATGAATGGATAAAGATGTGGTGTATACACACACATACACAAACACACACACATAGTGGAACATTATTCAGCCATAAAAAAAGAATGGAATCTTGCTATTTGTGAAAACATGGATGGACCTATTATGTTAACTGAAATAAGTTAGAGAAAGACAAATACTGTATGATTTCACTTGTATGTGGAATCTAAAAAATAAAACAAATGAACAAACAAAGCAAAACAGAAACAGACTCCTAGATACAGAGAACAAACTGATGACTGCCAGAGGGGACAGAGGTGGAGCGATGGGTGAAACAGGTGAAGGGGATTAGAGGCACAAACTTCCAGTCATAAAATAAATAAGTCATGGGCATGTAATGTATAGCATAGGGAATATTGTCAATAATGTAATAACTTTGTATGGTGACAGATAGTAACTAGACATATTATGGTGATCAATTTATAATGTATAAAAATATCAAATCACTATGTTGTACACCTGAAACTAATATAATATTGCATGTCAATTACACTTCAATAAAAAAAAATTTGAGTAGCTGACAAGCTTCACATTTTCTGACTTAAATATCAAGAAAATATTATATCATGATATTAACAAGTCTTCTATGAGTCAAATTACTGAAACCTGCTGAAAAGTATAATTATTAAATAAATTAAATGACAGTTTTTCTCAGAATATAGGAACCATTTAGCTTAATTTATGCAAATATATAAGCCAATTTCAGTATAATCAAAAGGAGAGTGTATATATTTACATGTATTTAAAGTGTGTAGAATTTTGCTGACACATAGTGCTTCATAAATGTTGGCTTTATCATTTGTAATTGTTGATACTTTAAGAAGTTAACATGAAGTACAACTGATTTTTTGAAAGCTAGACCATACTTCATACCCTAACTCAATTAGGACAGTAAGAAAACATCATCCATTTAAACTTTTACTTTTAAGCCTTTGTTTTTAAAATATTTTCCACAAGTGAGTCAAAATTTTATTAGCTAAACCTCACATACTAGTTCTATAAAGTGCTAGTCCTAAAACTCAGTAGAAACCAGAACTCATTCTATGGTGTTTATATACG